CGCTCTCAACCCCTCCCCTCCCCTCTTTTCCCCCGCAAAGCGCCCCCGTATCGGGCTAACCAATTGCCAGGTCGGGTGATGCCCAGACGGATTAGCTGGACGAGCCTGCTTGAGAGGGCCGGCCTGGGCTAGCCTCGGCCCAGGAACGCCAATTAACGCAATCACGAAATGTAGCGAACGAATCGCAACGGGTTCGATGGCTCATCCGTCCCTCGCGAGACGCAGAGGGTCTAATCAACTCTCACTGTAACTTGGTTACTTCTTTTTTTATTTAATTTAAGGGGTCGGGGTCCTGGGTTAGATCACGAGAAAGAACCAAAAGAAAGGAAAATGTCGGAAAATAGAATCCTATTGAAACATCCCTGTGGCCGTCGCCATGAGACAGCGCGACCCGTCCGACAAAGAAGTGCCCCTTGCCCGCCCTGCCGTGCCCTGCCGCGCCCTGCCGTGCCCTGCCGTGCCCTGCCGCGCCCTGCCGTGCCCTGCCGTGCCCTGCCGCGCCCTGCCGTGCCCTGCCGTGCCCTGCCGCGCCCTGCCGTGCCCTGCCGTGCCCTGCCGTGCCCTGCCGCGCCCTGCCGTGCCCTGCCGTGCCCTACCGCGCCCTGCCGTGCCCTGCCGTGCCCTACCGCGCCCTGCCGTGCCCTGCCGTGCCCTGCCGTGCCCTGCCGTGCCCTGCCGCGCCCTGCCGTGCCCTACCGCGCCCTGCCGTGCCCTGCCGTGCCCTGCCGTGCCCTGCCGTGCCCTGCCGTGCCCTGCCGTGCCCTACCGCGCCCTGCCGTGCCCTGCCGTGCCCTGCCGTGCCCTGCCGTGCCCTGCCGTGCCCTGCCGTGCCCTGCCGCGCCCTGCCGTGCCCTGCCGTGCCCTGCCGTGCCCTGCCGCGCCCTGCCGCGCCCTGCCGCGCCCCGCGACCGCAGCCGAGCGATTCAGAAGATCGCTTCGTCGCTCTGTCTCTCTCGCGCCCTTACGGAGAGCCCCATGAGTGCGAGAGAGACAGAGCGACGAAGCGATCTTCTGAATCGCTCGGCAGACGAGCAATATCGCCACAGCAGAGCCAGAGGCTGACTCCGAACAGCGCTCCGTCGCCCTGTCTCTCTCGCACTCATGGGGCGCCCCGTGGGGAGCGAGGGCGACAGAGCGCTCTTCTGAAACAGCCTGCGCCAAAGCCCTCCTTGTGTCTCGAGAGACAGTTCCAGGCTTGAGGCGCAGCAGGCTCGCCGCACACCGACTGCGTGAGACACTTTTGGCTGATGGTCTTTTAACTGAATTCCAACGGCATTTCAAGTGCGCTTGCTGTATTGGCCACGTCGAAAAGTCCCCCTGAAACGTGTGACCTATAGACTGCGGCTGCGCCGGGCTGCGCCACCACGACGAATGAAAGGGGAGGGAGGCAAACAGTCGCATTCGATTTCGCTTGCCTCGGTTCCACTCGGAGTGCGCCTCTTCTGTTGGAGTCGGTCGCAAAGCATTCCCGACTCGATTCCAAATGTTCAAGGGAAAATCACTGTGAATTTCGGTGTACAAATCCAATGAATTTCAGTCGAATTTCAGTCGAGTTTCGATGAATTTCTGTCGAATTTCGATGAATTTCAGTCAAAATTTGGTGAATTTCAGTCGAATTTTGATGAATTTTAGCCAAATTTCGATGAATTTCAATGAAGTTTAATAAATTTTACATGTTTGATGAATTTTGGTGTACAAATTAGGCTGGAGTTATTTCCCCTAGGAAATGTTTGACAGAGTTTGGCAAAACCGCCCCGCCCCGACGATGTTAATTAAGCCCGCCTGCTCGTCGCTATCCGTCTCTCTCGCACCCCTACGGTAGCCCTACGGCACACCGCGCACCCCGTGAGTGCGAGAGAGACAGAGCGGCGGAGCATAGTCGCTCAGACTGAAGCCTGCCGAGTCGCCGATTATTGGGCTGAATACACTTGCGCCCCATTGTTTCGCCTTAATCAGTAATTTGGCTGCAGCGTCCCCCAGCATCATCCAGCAGCGGCGGTCCGGACCACCGAGTCGGGACCGAGATCTAACCTCCATGTCATACAGTCATGATGCACTGATAGAAAAAAGGACAGAAAAAGTACGGAACATGTCTGGTCAATTTTTTACCTGGACCGTCCGTACCTTGCCAACCACAGAAGTTAATTAACATGAGATTAACATTTCCCATATCCCATTTTCCGTACCAAACCACGGATTTTTTTTTGCAGTGCAAGGTGATGCTGCCGAAACACCTAGGACAAGGAGCCAACAAAACACCCGGTTTCCTGGAAGTGCACTGCAAAGACGTTGCCAAACGATCGTTTGACATTTTGAGGAAAACGGGACGGCTATGCTGTCAGGGCGCCGCCTGCTGTTGCTGTGGGATCTCTAGAATGCCTGAGTCGGCGTAATCTAACTTGCGTCTGGGAGAGAGAGAGGGACAGAGAGAGATGGAGAGAGAGAGAGAGAGAGAGAGAGAGAGAGAGAGAGAGAGAGAGAGAGAGAGAGAGAGAGAGAGAGAGAGAGAGAGAGAGAGAGAGAGAGAGAGAGAGAGAGACATGCCATTTGCAATGACAAAGGGACTGGCGGAATACAAGAGAAAGGATGGTGCGGGAATGGAATGGAAAATGTTGGGGTGGGGGTTGGCTGCGGGTTGGCATAGGGGGTTGAGTAGCAAATTACGGTGTCTGCTCAGTTGTTGACAATTCTGAAGTATTAAAACCCACCAGCTGTCCCGCACAAAAGAAGAATGAGCAAACGGCAACCTTCGCCCACCCGTCCTCCGAGAGCTCATGTGCCACCGCCGCCGCTTCACTCTCCGCGTGAGTCTGACTGGGGGGCGTTTTCGTCGCTCTGTCTCTCTCGCATAGTCATGGGGCGAGCCGCATTGCTGTGCGAGAGACGGAGACGAAAGCGGCCCTCGGAATCAGTCTGCTGAGACGGCACGAGGGGGCTGGAGGGGGGGCGAGGCACAGTGGGCCAGGAGCCGGTGGAGGCGGCCATAACTCTAGACGCGTTCTGAGCTCCAGAGTCGCTAAATGGGACTCGAACCGAACGTGTGACCCCACCAATGGACTCCTCGTTCGGAGAGCAATCCATTGGTGGGGTCACACGTTCGGTTCGAGTCCTGTTTAGCGACTCTGGAGCTCATAACGCGTCTGGAGTTTTGGCCGCCTCCACCGGCTTCTGGCCCACTGTGCGAGGGGGCAATATCGTGGCGGCGCTCGCTGTCACAAAATTTGAGAATAGTTGAGAGGCCCGGCCGGAGGCCCACAGCGGGGTCGCTGCGAGGGGATGGCCGCCAAGACCGCCACGGAGGGGCCCGCTATGGGGTGGCAGGGGCCCCGGCGGGGTGGCCTGCGAAGGGCACGGCACGGCACGGCACGCCGGGCCACGGCGCTGCGAAGCGGCTAGGGTAGGCTAGGGAGATGACGACGATCAATACGAACCTCGGCGGGCACAAAGCGCGGGCCCCGCGATACGAATGGGGAGCAGGAGACAGAGAAAGAGAGAAAGAGAGAGAAACGGATAGGCGAAAGGCGAGAGATGGAGGAAGGGGAGAGGGAGGAGGGGAAAGGAAAGGGGAGGGGGCGGCGCGCGGGGCGGCGACGGTCAAGGTCATGGGCGCCATGGGCGCGGCAGGGCGAGGATGCCGCGAGTCCCAACCCTCCCCTCCCCACCCCTATCTCCCTTCCCTCAAAAAGAGTGCAGCACCCTTCGCCTCGTGATCACTCTCACCCTTAGGCCACGACACGCCATACTGAGGCATACCCCGCCCCCCACCGCGGACCCCTCGCACCCGGTTGGCAGTGACAGACGCTGGCAGTCCTTGGTGGGAACAAGGATAGGCAAGGATGAACCAGGATAAAGCGAGAGGCGCGGCCATCTGAGCCTCACACTGTGAGAAAAAACCACAGTGAATCCTGTTAATTTTTTTGCCGGGATTTACTGTAGTTCAGAACACAGGATTCACTGTGCCTGGCTACAGTATTTACTGTACCTGGTACAGGATATTCCGTACTCTACTCCTGCGGTACAGTAAATCCCGTACAAAGTACAGTAGATCCTGTAAAGAAGTACAGTAAATCCTGTACTCTAAACTACAGTGACAGCTGTACTAATCACTACAGGATTTACTGTGATTTTTTCCCACAGTGCAGGCAGCAGGCAGGCCCTGCCGCAGTCCCGCCACGGCCCAGACTACTCCAGGCAACACTCGGCCAAACATTCATTGCACTCCGTCAGCCACCAAAAGAAGCATGTTCTAAGCATCACCATAACTGGTCACAGGTCTCATATACCTGACAATAAAGAGAGTATGTTGACGGATTTTTGAATGGCATTAAAACACACGCATGTCACAACGAAAACGAAACCGCCTTGTTTAGGCCACCGAGACCTGCAGGTGACGGACTTCCATAACGATATGAGCACATATGAGGTCACATGTCTTCATAACGTATCTGTTCTCCTTGAGATTCATTGTACAAACTTGGTCCCTCAATAACAAACTTGATGTTTTCGAAACAAAAATGTCGAATACAACAATAATACCGCAAAGGTAAGAACTCAATTTTTCCTTAACTCTGCTGGTTTGCTTGGCAATTATTTCAATTTTCATTCGTACCACCCAAGAAACAAAACTTCTGTACTTTGGCAAAAGACCAAATTATTTGGATCATAAGTCGATTATACAGAATAAAAAGGTAAATTTTAACTCATATGACACAACTCTTTGCAATATAATAATGCGCCGCACAGTCATAGGAGCATGGATTGGGAGTTCAGGGACGAGATCTATCGTTACTTAGTTAAAACTGCTACATGTCGGGGAACATAAATTAAGCTGCACTTCCAGGAAAACAGTACAGGCAATTTGAGACCCGTTTAATCATTTTCTAAACACATAATACCCCGAGACCGGCTACAGCCGGGAGGTTAGAATCACCATTTCAAGTACAGGGGCGGCCAAAATCAACTTAACATTTAAAATTTGAAGAAAGAGAACTCAGACTCACCTCTGTCAAACTTCTTTCCTTCAGGATCAATGTCCTTCACATTGAAAATATCCTCAAACAAAACTCCAGCCATAGTAAGTTAGTTCTTAGAAAACGGTTCTCACTTAGAACTGAGTGTAATATTTCAATAGAAACGACTTTAAGCACCAGGATATGACAATCCCAATGACCAGATGTGCTTAGCACCAACAATCACCAAAGGGTAAGATTGTAAAATGCAACAAATCTCAAATCAACAAAACACCACACCGGACTTCCAACCTTACTTCGTTTCAAAACAATACACCGCCTTTCATTTCTTAACCGAGTTCGAGTTACCAGTTTCGGCAACCTGGCGGAAACTCAACATCTAGATCTTTAGAAGACGTGATCAGCTTCCTTTGAACGTTGTCACCTCCCTATTCAAGATTTTTCAAAATACTTGTTCTGTGAAACAATCTACTGTCTTGTACATTTGATGCAATTATTTCTATTTGTTAGAGACATTTTGTCTCAACGCAGACTAAAAAAACATCCTTGTTTGGTATATTTTATAAGTTTGTCATTAGATAAAAAAAATCTGTTTATTTGAACCTTTAAGCTGAAATGTTCATATTATTGTTGAGATAATACATTTACTGCCAATCAAAAGACATCATGGCACATGGCTATCAGCATGTGTTTCTCACAGGGCCTCCTGGTAATGGTCCCGAGCTGACTGAGCCCAAAAGCCACAACATAACGTTCTTTTCTAATTGGATCTGTTTTTCTTCCACAGGTATTGGGAAAACTACAATCATTGAGAAAGTCTGTAAAGAACTCCGATTAAAAAGCATTTCCATGAAAGGATTTTTCACAGCAGAGCTGCGAGAAGATGGGAAACGTGTTGGTTTTGACATAATATCATTGGATGGAAATAGGTGCCCATTAGCAAGAATTGGGTAAGTGGCCAGGAGAAATAACTTGATGTCAAACAGCACAATGAAACTAATTAACCTGTCGATCAGCGGTTACTCCTCTCTTCCTTGTATATTGGATTGACAGCGAGGGCACAGGACCTAAAGTTGGACAATATGTAGTCAAGTCGTTTGAGTCTGTTGCACTTCCCATTCTACAGACAGAAGTGAGTTTCAAGCCTATTCAATAATATTTGGCAAGCTGAAGTGTATTTTATTTATGCATATTCCTCATCATTTTCAGATGAGTCATGTAACAGTTCTTGATGAAGTTGGCAAAATGGAACTCTTCAGTCAAAGATTTGAACTTGCGGTCAAGAATGTGTTTGCTACTAATACTTCAATTTTAGGAACAATACCTCTGCAGAAAGGAAGGCCAATACCTCTGGTTGAGTTTATACGCACACACCCATCTGTCAAACTCTTTACAGTAAGTTTCATACCATACACTGTCCACTGTTCATTGAGTGTGTAATGACACAGATGTGTCTGCTTGCAGGTTGACTACAAAAATAGAGATTCTGTACCCTACGAAATTGTTAACCTCTTGGCATCTGCTGGGGAGAGTCATGGTAAACCATAAAAATAAGTGATTTCTAAAGAAATTAAATTTATTTCTTACCAGGATTATGCAGTCACTGCATTGATCACCACAAATCACCCATCTACTATAGCTGTTGATTAAAATTTCCATAAAAGAGTAGAAAAAGCCCAACATGATATATACTTTTAACTGCATCATTTCTTATGTAAGTAAAAAACAGTGAAGTTTTTTAAGTTTAAACATGGTTCATTTCATTAGACTTAAAATCGAGATGGTCCCTACTGATTTCAAACTTGCCTTGTGATCCATTCAGTATCTAATTCTAAACAACTACCAGTTAATATTTTCTTGATTTAACTAGTCACAGGAATCATCAGTAAACAAAGTATACATAGCAAATGTCAAAAACAAACATTTGCCAGGACCTCCTAAATTGGACTGGTTCTGGAATTTAAGAGTATTGCTTGTTGCTGGATGGATTTTAGCAGCTTTATTATGGCATCATACTGAGCAAGGAATTTGCATACATCATGGGCTTTACATCTGGATGAGGCTGTAACAAAAGTTAATGTTATGTTTATGTTCAAAATATCAAGAGGGACCATTTATATGTGGGAAGAAAACATACCACTGCCTCATAAGTTGTAAATTTCGGGCTCATGTCATTTCCTTTAAGTGTTATGTAAGCACCCTTGTTACCCATAGTATCACTGTAAAATGAAAAATTCCTTAATGACACAGCTTTCGTCCAATGATTGCAGAAAATAGGCAATAGTTTATGGGTAATTACCAGTAATTTGGAGCAGAAAAAATAGTTATACATTTGCCCTCATGTGCAATTTCATATCCAGCACTTTTAACCTCATGACTCCTGATAATGTACTCCAAATTGTTTCTTTTGAGGAAGTTGTGAGTGACATCAGGTCCAAACTGGACACCAACTCCTCGCTTACTTGATTCTCTGCCATTTTGAGGCTGTGGATCAGACCACAGCAGCTCGCACATAAGACCTGAAATTTTTCAAGTGATTATTGTCTTTGCTTGGAACTGATACAAGGTGATATTAAGTAGACATAAAACTCATAAGATATTACCATCTTCTGGTGGTTCCCTGTTTCTGTCAATTTTTCTAATGTCATCTAGAGTCACATCATCTTTTGTGAAAAGACCACCATGCATAACCTGATAACAAACCAAAATATTTTCACAAACAATCCTCAATTCAATGAGGGTAGCAAATTTTTTTTTCACCCCATGAAAAATCATTCTACTACACAATGAACTCACAAGAACTTTGTTGTTCAGCAGATGAGCAAGAGGCAACCAATTATAAACTTCAGTAAACAGCTGTGACATTTGATTGGTATACTTTGCTTTCACTTCACCTTCAAAACCATACATTTGATTCATATTGTGGCTCTCGTGGTTCCCTGAAATTAAAAGTAAGAAAATAAAATCACTGAACAATTTTGTTGAGGTTGTTTTTTTTTTGTTTTTTTTTTGGTTATCAAACATCATACAGAGCACCAACTCGGAAGCTGTTTTGCTGATTAAAGACAACATTGACTTACCTCTTGCCATGAAGAAATGATCAGGATATAGAAGCTTAAATCCAAATAATGTGAAAATACATTCAACAGAGAAAGAGCCCCGGTCCACAAAGTCTCCATTAAATAACTAAAATGCTAGTTAAGGAAAATATTATATCACTTGAAAAAAAGAAACAAAAACCAAACAAATAGGAACAAAAAACCCTGGAATTTAACTGTTTAAGTTGAGTGTTAAGGATACGTAGGGGTTTGTTTCTGAGGGTAGACCATTAAGTTCAAAAATATTCATTAGGTCATAGAATTGCCCATGAATATCGCCACAAACTGTGAACTTAGAATCGTCAGGAATTGGGACCTCAATCAAAGTTGGTTGCTTAGTGAACATTTGCTTCACATCAAACAAAATCTGCAATAAAGGCACAGGTTGACAAAAGGGGAAATTAACACACACAGCAAGGGACACCAGGAGTTTGGGACTCACTTTGTAAGCATATTTACGGTGAAGCTTGCCCTGTTTCTTGTATGTGTCCATAAGTTCCTTCATGAATTCAAGAGTAACTTTGCCATCCTCTAACGTAGGACCAGTATAATCTCCTTCAAGAACTGTTAAAAAAAGAATTCAACAATAAATTTAACCAAAAAAAAAAAAAAAGTACAATTAATAAAATTTTTAAAGAAATACTGAGACATGAGATACTTACCCATGCTCTCAAAGTCAATTGAATCTGCTATACTTTTTGTTTCTACAGAAATAGCCTTTTCAAATGCAACTTTCTTCACAATTTTGCTGCACTCCACAGCTTTACGTTTGGCCTCCGCATCATTAGGACGCACAGTTGCCACCTAGAAGCACAAAAAGTTTTGTTTTAAGAAAAATGAGACAGAGCATTGTATATACTGTATGATAGTAAGCAAATGAGTGAATACATACAGCCTGATAGTCACTTAGAGCCAGCTTAAATTTTCCTAAGGACATGTAAGCCTCAGCTCGTCTATAGTAGCCTTTAACGTAGTCACGATCAGCAGCGATTGCTTTGGTGGCATCTCGCAAGGCTGCCCCAAAGCACTCTGTACGCAAGTACGCCATACTTCTATTGCCATAGTAAATTGCATTATTTGAGTTCAGTTCAATTGCTTTAGTATATAAATTTATAGCTTGTTCATAGTCTTGTTCTGCAACAGAAGAGAAGCACAGTATGTAAGAGAACCATAACTACCAGTACAATTGGAATCATCAGTTTTCAAAAGTGGCTGGCCAGGATGCAGAAATTGAGAACATACACCATGAACTCCCCAACCCCTAAATCAAGCCAACAGTGCCTGAAATCAAATGATAATTTTCAATGTCCTCATTTTTTTTCTGGAGGCAAAATCTTCATAGAATTGGGTACTTGTGCTAAGATTCAAGTGAAATTTGAAAACGTGAGAAAATAAATTCTTGGAGAAACATTTTAAAAGACAATAGATTTCCCTGTAGTAATTTTTGTTGTGTGTGCATGCATTATAAGAGAAACTTGTTCAATAAAGTAATAGACAAAAGGAAAAGAATTACAGTGACATTCAGGGGAAAATCTTAATTTTTCAGAAAAGCATGGGTGCAAGGAAAACATCCAACCTTATACATAACAGTTTTAATGACAGAAATATTTAATGTAACAAAACAATGGACAACAAAATAAATGCCAAAATGCAGCATCATTTTAACACAAAGAATACAAATTTTAACATTTGTACTTAGGCAAAAATGGGAAAATTGCTCTTCAGGAAACTTACTTCTAAAAACAACAATCACAAAGACTGAATGTTATATTCAGGTCACATACATTCATAATTGAAAGTACGGAACATTCCAGATGCTGCACATAAGACGTGCAAGTACCATAACAAACTTAATGGACGGAATGAAAAAACCCAAAGCATCATGAATGTATACAAAGTTTGCAAAAGATAGGCCGAAACCAGGGCCAAATTTTAAGTAGTGCTCAAATTCTAGAAAACAGGTAGGCATTAGGCTACCCCGATAAGCTGCAATACTACCTGGTCAATAAGGTCATCTTAAAAAATTCATCAATTTCAGAGCATTATAGCATTAATAATAAATAAACTTAAGCTTACAAAACAAATAAAAGCACAATCAATGGTTAAGAAATGGGAAGAGGTTTGCAATTATTAAAGTTCACAACCACTGAATTCACATGGGAATTAAAATTGAAATACCCATCAAAGTGCACTGAACAACCTTTTTCCCACAGTAAGTCCATAGTTCACCATATGTTTAATCAATGTTAAATTATTACTTCCAAAATTATTGTTGGGTCATTCCAGTCAATGCATTCAACTAAGGTTCCTATGATTAGGATAAAAATTGGTCATCAACTTATATTTTAGATTTCAGTACAATAAGACTGAAGGAATCAATAATAATGAGGTTTTAAAAAATAGAAAGGAATGATTTGATGATTTACAAAAAAAATTCTGGTGTGGCACTTCACCTTTGAATCACTTTTCAATTCTACATAAGGTAGCCAAGGGCTTCATGCTTAATATATCACAATGCTGAATGAAACATTCAACCTACACTTAACGTGTAGTGTGTTTCTTAAGGGTATAGACCCAGTAGGAAAAGAATACAAATAGAATAATGTAGACTGTCATCATGAAAATAATTTAGGAATAATAATGTATCTGAACAATTAGATTTGACATTACTAAAGCAAGATGTTCAGATAGTCATTCTTCCTTGCATACAACTAACTACTGAAAAATCAAGGGAATGAAGTACAAAATTTGTAAAAAATAAAAATGATTAGGTAACTTAAAGCTTAAATAAGGTTAAATAGACTAACATTGGTGGTTAGCATTAGTGTCAGGGCAATTCCTTCCTACTCCCATTTTTTTTCGATACTGTGTGTGGTTTCTTTACTAATCGTTCCAAAGAGATGTCTACGTGTCGGGGTCCAAACGGACGAGGCCGTTCAAAGGTAACTCCATCCACTTGATCCACATCTTGCATCTCACTGCTAACTCGATGCCTTCTCCTACGTAGATAAATCCAAACTCCCATTGCTATGGCTATGAACAGGATGTAACTTGTAGCTCCAGCAAGACCAGCATACTCTGACAATGTTTCTTGAATGGATAATCGAGATAAAAGTTCACCATCAATATCCACATACTTGTGTTCACAGCGTCGACCCATAAATCCTTCAGTACAATTACAATTGTACTCCACAACATCACCAACTTTTATCGCAAAACAAACAGCCTTATTCAAACAAAACCATTGGTCAAGAGAAGGTGGACACTCAAAAACATCAAATGTAATTGAGGGCCTTAAGGTTGTAACTACAGGTGGTGGTTCTGTTGGAGGTCGATTTCGGTTGCGGAGACGGCTGGAGCAAGCTTCAGAGTAAGAGCCACACAGAAGCAGCAGCAAAGGCAGGCAAACCATCGATGGCGACATCACTAGGGTGGCTGACCCTCTTGAGCGTTGACGGAGTCTCGTGAATGTTTCATCCATGTCCTGGAATCGGGATCAGCTGTTTAGCAGTCTGCTCTTAGTCTCAGGTATCAGTCATGTGTTGGACAGGAGACACTGCTTCCCCATTCATCTTTCATTGCCAATAAGGCTACCAATAGCAATGGCTAGGTACTAAGTGGCTTCAGATCTCTCTATCTTCCAAACTAGACACAACAGTAAAGGCAGATTTTCGTTTTCTTCGGAGGATGACGCAGTTACTATTTTGAAAGAATTTAACTTACATTCAGGGGACAATCCCTTGCTATATGCAAAATTAGGACGGTCAGAAACACAAATGGCACCTACAAACAAATACCTACAAAAGTTACAGAGTTACTTGTCTGTCCCGAGTGAATTAAAACCATGAAGGGTTCCAATTATGTACAGGAAGGAAGTGATGTTGGGCACATGCTAACTGTAAGCAGTTACCACACTCATATCATTCAAATAAATAACAATAATACTCAAAATATAAAATACAGATAAGTACAGTATTTTCAAGCCAAATACAACAGGATGTTAGAATAAAAGACAGAGAGCAAGAACTACAGGCCTCTCGTTAAAGGTTATAAAGATAAGAGCGAACAAAGTAAGTCACAATGCCTTGAGAAATGACAGAACTGGGAGGAACAACCATCAGTAACAAACTAGACCATAAAGATGAGTGAATCAAGCTTAAGATTAAAATATCAATTGTTTAAAGGCAAGGAAATTAGAAATTAACATGTAAACAGAGAAGAAAACTGTCTGAAAACGCAAGAAGCCATAGATATGGTCTAACAGGTAATGTTAACAGGTAGGAAGTTGATGAAATATCGGTACAGGGAGGATAGAGGTAAGAAATAGCTCAAATAGGAAAGATGCATGCGTTCACCCATTCATTCATACAATTGTTCACCTATTCATTCGATCTCCAATTCATGCGCGAATGCGTATCTGCGTTTACTATATCTAACTGTAGTTGTTTCAAAGAGGGGAACCGTGTAAAAAGCTCGATGAATTGGAAGCGAGCCGGTGCCCCGTCTCGCCTTCAACTCAGCGCAGCAGCCCAAGAGGACCTACACGGCCTAACCTTAAGCACCCTCCACAAACTTCCTGATGCAACCACAGCGGCGAGCGGAGCGAGGCAGGCGACAGGCAAGAGCATGCAACCATGGGGACCGCCCTGCAGGTCGCAGCAGGATGAGAGAAACACCCACGCCCTCAGGAAGCGGCCAAGCCCGTAGGCGGAGATAACAGTGGACACACACCTTAGCCTAAGCAACACAGACACAGGGGCCTTACTTTTAAAGAAAACGTTCGCCTGTTCTTTGAATTGGTCGGCTTTGGCGACATCTTCAGGAGATATTTCAGGCTTTGTCTCTTCATCGGTGCTCATGTTACAAGTTTCTAAAATTGTCAGAGTCCGTAGAAATAGGGGCGCGCTGAACAGGAGTTGCACATTTATAGGGTAATTGGGATGAATGTGGAAAACTTTACCGCGGCCCACGTTCGTCACCTGTTTGGGTTCGTTCTTGTTCTTTCTGGATCAGCTGCACGAGAGCCATGAAAGCCATGAGCGAGCACGAATGACCACTGGAATCTCTATTCGCAGGATCCGTAAGCGGACGTGCCAATAACGGGAGCCAACATTGGCCGCAGCAAAGTTTGTTGTTCGAAAAATCAAAATGGCAGAAAGTGTTCAAAGGTCCAAAGACAACAATGACAAACCGAGGAAAAGGCGGAGAAGTCGAGACAAGGGCGACATGAATGAGGCTGTGGACGAAGGTAAAAACCACCACTGGGTTGTGTCAAGTTAAACAAAAGGCATTGATAGTAGGTTCGATTTGCCCCACTTCCATTGACCCATCAGACTTGTTTTTACTTCCTTCTCGTGACACTTTAGTTCATGTACTTGTTTCTGTGAGGGTTGCTCTCCTTCGACGTTTTCTTCTTCGGCCTTTAGTCTTGATGAGTTTGTGTATGTTCAGTCTAAACCTTGCATCATAGGCATAATTTTCCAGCGACCCTGGAAGTGTATGAGTGACCTAATTCTGAAGCCTGGCAGAAAGTGTTATTGATGCAATTATATTTATATTTTATTTTGATGTTTTCAATTTATTGACTGTAAACGTGATCATCTACTCTGTTTTCAGGTCGAGCGGAAGCTATTCCAGAATGTGCAGTGTGCCTTCAGACTTGTGTCCATCCAGCACGTTTACCATGCAGCCACATCTTTTGCTTCCTGTGCTTGAAAGGACTAGTAACCCAAAGCCGCCGATGTGCGATGTGTCGACAAGATATTCCCTTAGATTATCTTGATCATCCTCAATTACTGGAGATTCCAACTCCAGCTGAAAAGGAAGCATTTGAAGATGGATATCAATGGTTTTACGAGGGCCGGAGCGGTAAGAAATCTTTTAAAATCATTTATCTTGTTGGGTGGCAATAACATATTTTAACAGAACCATTATTATTTCTTCTTCATCTAATTTAACATTTACCCTACCAAGAAGGCCTTACCATAAAGCCATCAAAATAAGTCCTTGGCATAGTCAAATTTTGTTTTAGAAATTTGTGTCAATTTTGTCCATCTGCAGGGTGGTGGCAATATGAAGAACGAATTAGTGCTGAGCTGGAGACAAATTTCAAGCTAGGACGTAAAGGCTGTGAAATTCTCATCTGCGGCTCCCTTTACATTGTGGATTTTGTTAATGGGAACCAATTCCGTAAAGATCAACAAGGCCGCAAACGGAAAATCAAACGAGATTTGGCTTCAGCCCCAAAGAAAGGCATTGCAGGACTTTCCTGATCAATCCAATTAGTTCCTATCCATATGCCATATATTTTACTATTGATGGTTTATATTAAGTGTTAGAATATAAAGACTGACACAACTATCTCACTTCTAGTGTTAACTCTCAAACTGCATATTCCAAAAACCTAATACTGAATTTTTCAGGTTTTTGGTTTTATATGCAGGATACTTGGCATTTCACTATTGAAATATGAGATAGAGAAAATATTCTTTTATTGTTTTGTTTTATTATGTTATTTCATTTCTTGCATGGACACTTGTATGTTTCTGTTGTTAAGTACCTCACACATCCTTTCACTTCTTTCTGTCAAAGAAGTAACATGAAATGAGAGCCGCAAAGATATATTTGTTTCCTTGCTGCTTGCATTATGCTTTCATTCCCAGGCTCTAGTAACTCAAGATTTCCAATTCAATGACTGAGTATTGTAGTAATGAAATTGGTTAACTGATATGTCAAATAAAGTTTTAGCCTTCAAAAATTTCTCTACCCTTTTTTTTATCCACCCCAATCTTTCTTTACTTTACCATAGCTTTAAATCTAGACAGTAAATCTTGAGTTAAATCATTATCTTTTTGTTTTAGGATGGTGGCAGTATGATGAGCGCACCAGTCGGGAGCTTGAAGCTGCCTATAAAAGTGGTCAACGGACATGTGAGCTGTTGATTGTTGGTCAATTATACATTGCAGACTTTGATGCAATGCTTCAGTTGCGCCGCAACGACTTGTCGCGTCGTCGCAGAATCAAACGTGATTTAGCCAGCATACCAAAGAAAGGTATTGCCGGCTTGAGGCTTGAGGGAGCACCGAGTTCGGGGGATGAGCCTTCTCCTCCGTCACCAAGTGGAGAGCCAGGAACAAGCAGGCTAGAATCTGATGAGAATTGGTCCGAAACTAATACTGAGCCTTCAAGCAACACTTGGCAAAGTGACCGTGAAGGCGCTGATTTGGTTCTGAGAGATTCTCAGCTGCATAGAGTTGCTGAGGCGGAGGATGACTCGGATGAGAACCACTCTGCCACAGAGAGTGATGAGAACAGTCCAAGGCGACAGGATTTAAATGATGATACAAATGTAGATGTCCACGATGACGATGACTCTGATAGTAATCAAGGAGACCTAGAAGCCCAGTTGCAAAATCTACGGCTTCACTAAACTTGTGCAATTGTATAAATTTAAATTTGTGATAATTTTTCATTAAAATCTAGATTTGTGGATACTTCTTGTTGTACTCTTTCAGCACCATTTATCTTTTTTAAACAATATCCCAATGTTCTTATGATGCTATTTATCTTGAGGATTTCATATTTCACCAATTTCTTCCTTTAATTTTCTGTTCATAGCTGGAACACATCAATCAAAATCATGACAGTTTGATGTCATTGTTGTGAATTATTCAACAATTTGTTGATAGTTCTGGCAATTGCCCTCAAATCTATCTCATTTTTATAACCCTGATATTGATGTGTCTTCACCTTCACAGAGTTTAGTTAAAACTTAGCATTTCTGATGCCATACCCTCCTCTTTCCTTGTAATGGTCTTTTACATTCCTGCTCCCCTGAAAGACCTTTCTTGGTACTCAAATGCAATTACAGGTATTGCCCTCTTTGACTTGCTTCAGTTGGCTCTTATAGCTTAAACAAGAGACATGATGCTGGTTGGATGAAAAAAAATTGAAGGTTGCTTTAAGATGTTATTGTTGCTCCTCATTTTGTGTTTTCTCATGTTTGTGAATAAACTCTATTTCAATTAAATATTGAATTTTTAGAGTCGCATGCCTTGATAAAATTTGTGGCAAGCACTTTGTCAATGTTCAATGTGTGATATTTATTTAGATTTTTGGAGAGGGTTGTTGATGTTTGGAAGATATTTCATTGATATGTTGATGAGTATTTAAGAAGATAAGAGTATTTTGTGAGATTTGTTTGTGTCTATGAGATCAAGCCTTAGCGGAAAAAGAAAAATAGTTGTCTGATGATTACAGTATTTATTGAATGTCTTTTTGACGTTGTTTTGTGTCCTTGTCCTCCTCTCTTGTATAAATTGTGTTTTATGAATCGTTCAATACTAGTGTGTACATTTTCAAATAAGCATGTAACAAACCGAGAATCTTAACTAGTTTTGATGGTGTTACCACCTTGTTACCATTTTATTGTATCTCAAATAATTTTTTTTGTCTTATTTTTGTAAAGTTATTAATGACCTGTCTTTTCTTTGAATTATTTGATTCAATAAAATATGGAAATTACTTTGCCTCTCTTTTTATCATTGACCAATAGTGCTGCAGTCATTTCACCTCCTATCCATTTCACTTCTGCCACTTTGTCAATTTATTCAATTGTGAATTTCCTGGTGCTCCCATATGGATAAATGTATAACATTGGTGTAAAGTTGGATATGGTATAACAAAGAGACAAGTTCGTTTCAATTGATACATTACTATTAAATATAAGGTTGTTTTACAAGGTTTCTACAGTTCTTGACATTCAATCAAGCTATCATCTAATTCGTTTAGATCCTTGGGTCTGCCCTTCTTACTTGATAGCTTGGAGTTTAATTTACAACTATGGTTTTTCAAATGAGATTTCAGTTTGTAGCTCTTTCCACAAGAGTGACATTCATACTCTCGCTTGTCACTATGTATCTTCATATGGTTATATAACGAGCCACTGTGAGAAAACTTTGCCCCACAAACTTTACACTCATTTAACTTCAGTTCGAAATGTATATTGACATGCCTCATTAAAACAACATTGGTGGTAAACCTTTCATCACATATTTGGCAAACAAAAGGACGCACTTTGGCATGGACTGAGCGTTTATGATGCATTAAGTCACTGTTATGGCCAAACTCCTTCCCACATTCTTCACATTTGAAAGCTTTATAAGTGTAGTGTTCTCTACATAAATGACGCTGTAAACTACTATTCAGCCGGAAAACAAGGCCGCAAACATCACATTTGAATGGCTTCTCTCCTGTATGAATAGTCATGTGGGTCCCAAGGCCAGATTTTTGAAGAAAAGTTTTACCGCAGTGAGGACATTCAAAGCGTGACCCTTTGGTACTAAATTTAACATTATGCTTTGCACGTCTATGGCTTAGAAGGGACAATTTTGTTGCAAATACTTGACCGCAGTCCTCACAAACATTCAGATCTTCAGTTTTGAAGTGCACTACCTCATGCTCAAAGAGTTGCTGTTCTTCTTCAAAGGAAAGGTGACAATGGTCACATTGATACTCTCCATCCTTGGGTTCTTCCTTAACTGCGACTTGATTTCTCATTTTCTTTGAGATTTTGGCATAGTTTTGGTCGGAGTCCTCCTCAAGCTGTTTAGCAACACTGGAAAAACATTGACACAGTCAGTGACATAACATGAAGGTAATAACATGCATCAGGCCTTCTTAATTTTTTGTTTGTTTGTCCAGAAAGATTTGATAACTCTAAATTTGTCTTTCTTATTAGAGAGAGCTAACCTGATCTTGACATCACAGATAATCCTTGAAAATATTTTTAAACTGCACCCATATGAAGACAAACAGAACTTTAACTCTAAACTTACCCCTTTCTTTTATATCTTTTCAGAGAATTCATGTTTGAAGATCCTTCCTTACGAGGACTTTAAATAAACTACATATAACAATAACAAGATATTGCCCCGTTCCCGTTCCCTCTTTCGATGAGTTGAGTAAACAGACAGACGAAGACAAGACGACGGACAGACGGACGCGGAGGAAGCGCACTCTCGTGGTCGTATCGTGAACTTTAAGATTACATTTTAACAACATTACGAAATCAAATTCAAGCCCAATTTAGCAAAATTAGACACGTAAATTTCATATTTAAGAGATAAAACCGTTTTTTTAAAATTGGTTTTTAATAAGGTCTTACTGTTGGAAATACCAAACGCAATTGTTGTAATTTGATTTAAAATGGATAAAATCTATAATGGTACGACTTGTACATGGCCCGAGGGCGCGTACTTTGACTGGCTGTGCTGGCAGGCGCTGGTCAAACTTTTAGATAGTGATTTTGACCTTGCTAATTTATGGATTAAAAAAGTCTTAATTATTCTGTGCGCCATGTCATTGTACAGTAAATAGAAAATTAGAAAACCTAAACGCTCCCATGACGCTACACTGGCTGGGGCCAGCTCACGTTCCTCCTGCCAAAAGGGCGCCAAACTTGGACGTAGCATAATTTGGTGGTAACAGTTAGACGTTAGACGATTGCATCAAATAGACCAACCAAATCTCATAGGACCACTGCCTGACTACTTTTCAGATTTTTCTTTTCCTTTGTGTCATGGTTAATAGTATGACTATTAAACAGAAAATTCGCTTTAAACGTGGTCTGTTACCCTCGACCGTCGTTTGTTTCCTTGGCCGCCATGTTTGAGCTGTCGACAGCACCCGAATAATTCACGGAAATTCACGAAGCCATATTCTTGAAATCCTAGGAAAAGTGTTGTGAAAGTACTTGTAACACGTATTTATCCGTAATCATCTGCATGATCTATGCAATATTTCGTACAAAAATGATTACGAATCGGGACAAGAAGGATCTTTGGTTCTAAGTTTGCGTGTCTTTTTTTTCCGCATTGGGAAAATAGTTTGTATCTATAACAAAACGCAAGTCCCTCTATGAGGACTCCAAGCGTAACACAAAACACGTTGCGATGAGCATGCAAAAGGGTAAACATCAAGGTGGACAGAACCAAGGATTTGCCCGCTATCCTTCTAACGCGTATCCTTCATCATTCATTTAACCTTGTAGTTTGGTAAGTGTGGTGTTGTAGATAGCCCCGGCCTGGGCCGTGACACTTACGGTCCGACCGGTGAGTTTGTGCTGTATTTGCTCTCTGTCCCACATCTCAAGTGAGCATCGCGGCCTGCAGTGTGCACAAGTGTTCACAAGTTCACCGGACCCGCGACAAGTTGAGACTGAAGACCTTCAGAGGTTAGGGGTGTCCCATCCAGTCCGGCTATGGACCCTAGACTAGCTTGCCAGCAGGGTCCCTCTGATGATTTGACAAATCATCTGGGTTATGGCAGTGACATGTCCATGAATCAAGAAATGTGGAGCCACGGAAACTATGAAGAATTCTACCCCGGGGAAGGTAGGAAAACGAACAAATTGTGTCCTCTGTTTGTGTCTGTGAATAGCAAGTGTTCTGAGTTGTCATTTTCAACAATAACATAACAAGTGTCATGGCATGACAACAAGCTTTGTACATGTTGGGTGGTTAAGTGTGTCTTTTCAGGTTTGGTTTTGCTTGGGTTTTATCTCAGCCATTAGTAGTAATTGAATCTACTGGACCACTCACATAGCATGAGTCCAACTTAACCTTTAAATGCAATGCGTCTCATGACTTCACTTTACTCATCTTCAAAGCAATCTGCTGCCAGTATGCCTTTAGAGCAAATAGTTTGGTCACTTTTGTGCTACTTGGGCAATGGTTCCTCCCTATCCAATTTTTTTCTTCACTATAAATTTATTCGAGTTGTGTTGCGTAACCCTCCATCAGTCCGCTCTTTCAGACATCAGTGCCATAAATTTAACGAAGTTTGTGCCAACTGATGGCTGTTCTCTCTCTGTTGATTAACATCTTCAAATTTCAAACAAACAGTGTGGGCTTGTCCAGTTGGATTTACAATGTCATCCCAACCCCTCTCTATTTGTACTTAATTCTTTTCATTTAAAAGAAAGGTATATATGTCTGTTAGATTAGACTTCAAATTAATTAGTTTATATTATCACTGATATGAATGAAACAATAATGGGTCACAAATTTGATAAAGGAACATCTATCATGAATAATATTACCAGAAGTACTTTGGAAGTTCATGTTAAAGTCTTGGTACATATTATGTACGATTATTTAACTTGTTCCAGAGTCTGAGCTATGGTTTCTAATTTTCGTTCAAGTGATTTAAACTCACACATCCATTTGTTTTGTTGTGCAAAAATTTGAAATTAGAGAATGTGCACCAGGCATCCCAGATTAAAATCATTTTGCAGCTGTGTGTGAATTGTTTTTACCTGATAAGCACTAACTCTGTTTAGATTCTGTTTGGTAGTTAATCCTAAATTTCACCAACAAGGCTTTGTGATAAATTTTAGTACAATTTTTTGCAGGAATGGTTTTGATAGATCATAAGAACATCCTTGTATTGAGTCATATCATTTCATTTCATGGGTGATGCTTGCTTTTGTGTAAGGAAGTATGTGCCTGTTATGTCTTTGCCGGGGTGGCTTGATGTGCATTGCAGGATGTGGAATAGTTTATAGTTTTTTCTGTACTGTGTTATGCAAGTGAATTTCGAATGTACCATCCATGAGAAGATGGACAGTCTTATCTTGGATACTAATCTGTGACGAACTCGTTTATCTGGTTGCCCGCCCCACCTGTAATTTTTTTTTCTGTCGGGTTGCGGTTGCCTGTCGTAAAGAAGGGGTGGCTGAAACACATGCAGTGTTATCAGTTGTCAAAGATTGTCATACTCGTCGGGACCGAAGAATGCTATCACCTTGGCGCTGGACCCGCCTGGCGCCGGCCGTGGCCCTGGCGGCCCTGGCGGCCGTGGCGGCCGTGGCCCTGGCAAAGCTAGGGGTATAGTCGGCCCGGCGGACTCCGTCCCCGCCAAGTCCACGTTCCATCCGGACGCCCACTGTAAGCCCACTGCGACCAGGCCAGCGCGGCCAGCCAGCGGGCTCGCAAGTTTTGTGAATGAATGGCAAGTGGCCTGTCGGCCGGCCGGCCCGACGGAGGCTAAAGGCCAGAGTGCACTGAGCCGGATGTAACGCAGTAACGCAGCGAAGAAGCTCGCGGAGTGAACGGAGTGAATGTGGGCCGGGACACCGCGTCGCCACGACCCGCCGGACCGGACCGTCGGACACCCCCCCTCCACCTGGACCTACCCCAGCCACCTTTCCCTCTGTGCAAAGTGTCTGTGTGAGTGTGTGTGTGTGTGTGCTCGACGATGGTGACGATGATGTAGTGCTGATTGTCTCTGTTTGTCCCGAAACTGAAACTCGCAGCAGGCTCCTTAACCAGATCTCTCAGTTATCCTCAACGCCAGCCGGCCCCACAACGTGAGTACCCGACTGGATGTCATGTCCCTGCCCCCTCTTCAATTTAACTCTCACTTTCTCTTTCCTTTACTTCTTTTTGTTTTCCGTCCCTGTCGCGCCGCGCGCTCTGTCGCTCAGAAGCGAACCATCCGTCCGGCGTGCCGAACGCGGTGCTGAAGGCCCGACGGCCGGCCCGTCGGGTTTGGCTTAGGCCCCCGAAGTTCGGTCCGTTCGGTCCCGCTTTGGCCGTGGATGGTTTGGTCTTCTCGGCCGGTACCGGAAGTGGATCGGCTGTGCCATGGCTGTGCTATGCGTGGCGTGGCGCGGCGCTGCATGACTCGTAGATTTGCTGTATGGAATGTGCATGATGTGACAGTAGGCTTGTCCGACTCGCGATTCGGCCTTCCCCGCCGGCACCAGGCCGCTGAGGCCCTGGCCAGCCCGGTGGCCTGTGCATTTGGCCGCGAGCGCGACGCGTTTCGATGATTGGTGGCTCGGCCACCGAGTGTGTGCGTGTTGGCGGTGGCCTTGACGCCGTGCACCTGCACCGCGGCCTGCACTATGGCTGCGCCGCTGCGCCCCACGCGCAGTCCACGCCGTGGACCATCGCGAGGCTGCATTAGGCGGATTCGCTGTATTTTTCTCTTTGCAAGGTTTTTCTTCGCCAGTGTGCCTCCGAGGCCCCCGCCGCCCGGGACTCTGTCCCTTCGTCGTGACGGCGGCCGCGGCGGCCGCGGCCTTGGCTGCACGTTGCACGTGTGCACGGCGCGTGGCGCGGTGCAGTGCGGTGCAGCGCGGGACTGGGCGCCCCGAGCTCGAATAGCACCGAGCGAACGCCGCGTCGGACGGTACAGTGGTTGGTACCCCTGACACACTGTGGATTGCGTGGCGTGTTGGCACACCTGGGCGTGGCCGGCGCGGGGGGGCTCGGGGTTCTTGCCAAGAGTCTTCGCGGAGGGTGGGCTAGGCTTGTCCAGGTCGAGGCCTCGGGGCTAAGGGCGTCCCCGTCGTGGTTGTAATGCAAGCGGAGCCGAGCGGAGCGGGCCAGTTTGATTGTGGTTTGGACGGTCCAGCGGCACGCCGTTGGCACGCCCCTCCTGCCCCGTCCCTCCCGAGGGCATGGCGGCATGGCGCAGTGCCTTCCCGCGCCCCGCGCTCGCGGCCCGCTGCCTTGCCGCCACCCCCAAGGCTGGGTGGGCGGCCGAACGGGGCATTGGCCCTTGGAGGCGGCCTCCCTCAGTGTGTCGCTGGCATGGCCTGGACGGCCTGGACGGCCTGGACGGCCTGGACGGCCTGGACGGGGCGATGAAGGAGAGGAGCCCGTTGATGAACCAATGCGGAAGCGACCGAATGAATGAATGAGTAAACGCTCGGCGCTGCCGTTTTGAGGCGAGGCGCCTAGAAACTGGGCCGATCGAGATGGGCGTGCTGTGTGCCTGGCGTGGCTCGGTTTGAACGCGCAGCGCGCTGCCTTGTGGGAACTGGCGCGTTGCTGCGTTGCGTGGGCGTGGGCCAGGCAGGCCGCGCTTCCTCCGCCGGTGCCACGCCCGCGGCCCGCAACCTCACCGTGAGAGGCCTCCTGCCAGTGTGTGCGCTGGACGCTGGTTATCATCGGTGTACATATTCGCACTGCATTTCTCCCTTTCCTCGCGTTCATTTTGT